CTCATTAAACTCAGACAGCAGTTTTTGTAAGTTTCTCAAATGCACATCAGAATTTGCAGAGCTTAAGCACTGTGAGAACAAAACAAAGCCGTATAATGGAGGCTAACTTTTGTGGATCATTTAGTACACTCCAGGCAATTTCATTTCAAAATTATTTATATAAGCCAGATATAATAATAGACTTTAACTTTTTTAATTGACATATAATTGATATCCAACATTATATTAGTTTCAGGTATACAACACAATGATTCCACATTTGTGTACATTGTGAAATGATCACCACAGTAAATCTAGTTATCATCTATCACTTTACAATTTTGCACTTTTTAATTTTTTTTCCTATGATAAGAACTTTTAAGATTTACTGTCTTAACATCTTGGAAATTTGAGATACAGTGTCATTGACTGTAGTCACCATACTGTATGCATTATGTCCTCATGACTTTTTATTTTATGACTAGAGTTTTATACCTTATGATCCCCTTCACCCCATTTCGTCTACCTTTCCAAAACCCTCCCTTCTAGCAACCACCAATCTGTTCTCTTTATCTATGAGTCTGGCTTGGTTTGATTTTGTGTGATCATTTGTTTATTAGTTCCACATATAAGTGAGACCATGCGGTATTTGTCTTTCTTTGCGTGACTTGTTTCACTTAGCACAATACTCTTGAGGGCCATCTATGTTGCCACAAATGGCAAGATTTCATTCTTTTTTATGGCTCAGAGGTATTCATACATATGCGGTATTTTTATCCATTCATCCATCAATGAACACTTAGGTTCTTTCCATACCTTGGCTATTGTAAATAATTCTGCAATGAACACAAGGGTGCATATCTCTTTTTGAATTAGTGTTTCATACTCTTCAGGTAAATACCCAGTAATGGAAATACTGGGTCATATGGTAGTTCTATTTTTAATTTTTTGAAGGATCCACACACTGTTTTCCATTGTGGCTGCACCAATTTACATTCCCACTAACAGTGTACAAGGATGCCTTTTTCCTCCACATCCTTGCCAGCACTTATTACTTCTTCTCCTTTTCCTGACAGCCATTTGGACAGGTGTCAGGTGATCTCATTATGGTTTTGATTTTCATTTCCCTGAAGATTAGTGATGCTGAGCATCTTTCATACATCTGCATGTCTTCTTTAGAAAAATGTCTATTCAGATCCTCTGCCTGTTTGTAATTGTTTTCTGTTGTTATTGAGTTTTATGAATTTTTAAATATATTTTGGATATTGACTCCTTACCAGGTATATAAATTGCAAATGTCTTCTCTTATTCGTTAGGTTGATTTTTATTTTGTTGATCGTTTCCTTCTCTATGCAGAAGCTTTATAATTTGATTTAGTCACATTTGTTTATTTTTGCTTTTGTTACTCTTGCCTTTTGAGTCAGATCCAAAAAAAGATATCACCAAGACCACTATCAAGGAGCTTACTGCCTGTGTTTTCTTCTGGTAATTTTGTTTTTCTGTTCTTACATTCAAGTCTTCAATCCATTTTGAGCTACGTTTTATGTATGGCATAAGATAGTGGTCTGGTTTCATTCTTTTGGATGTGGCTGTTTAGTTTTCCAAATACTATTTATTGAAGAGACTGCTCTTTCTCCATTATATACTCTCGGTTTCTTTGTCATAAATTAATTGGTCATATATGTGTGGGTTTATTTGTGAACTCTCTATCCTGTCCTATTGATCTATCAGTCTGTTTTATGGCAAAACTATACTGTTTTGATTACTATAGCTTTGGAATATCATGTAAAATCAGGGAGCATGATGCTTCTGGCTTTATCCTTTTTTCTTAAGATTGCTTGGCTATTCAGATTTTTGTGTTCCATACAAACTTTAGGATTGTTTATTCAAAATCTGTGAAAAATGTCATTGAAATTTTGACAAGAATTTTATTGAATCTGCTTTGGTTAAAATGGACACTTTAACAACATTAATTCTTTCAACTCATGAGCACAGAATATTTTCCATTTATTTGTGTATTCTTCAGTTTCTTTCATCAATGTCTTATAGTTTTTAATATACAGGTCTTTCACTTCCTGGTTAAATTTATTCCCAGATATTTTATTCTTTTTGATACAGTTGTAAATGGTATGGTTTTCTTAATTTCTTTTTCTTAAATTTCATTGTTACTATATAAAAACACAAAAAAATTATATTTGTTTTGTGTCCTGCAATTTTAATTACTCTATCAGCTTCAGTAGGTTTTTTGGTGGAATCTTTAAGATTTTCTCTATGTAATATTATGTCATGTGCAAATAGTGCCAGTTTTACTTCTTCCTTCCAATTTGGATGCCTTTTACTTCTTTATCTTGCCTAATTGTTGTGGCTGGAACTTCCAGTACTATGCTGAATAGAAGTAGTGAGAGAGGGCATCCTTGTCTTGTTCTTGATCTTAAAGGAAAGGCTTTCACCTTTTTACCACTGAGCATATGATAGCTGTGGGCTTGTCACATATGGCTTTTGTTATACTGGGGTACATTCAATCTATACCCACCTTGATCATAAAATGATGTTGAATTTTTTCAAGTGCTTTTTCTCCATCTATTGAGAGGATCATACAAGTTTTATCATTCATTATGTCAGTGTGGTGTATCACCTTGTTAGATTTATGGATATTGAACCATCCTTACTTCCCTGGAATAATTCTTACTTGATCATGATGCATGATCCTTTTAATGTACCATTGAATTCAGTTAGCTAATATTTTGTTGAGGATTTGGTATCTATGTTCTTTAGGGATATTGGCCTGTAATTTTTTTTACGTGTCCTTTTTTGGTTTTGGTACCAAGGTGACTCTGGTCTCATAAAATGAGTTTGGGAGCATTCCCTCCTCTCTAATTTTTGGATGAGTTTGAGAATGAGAAGTAGTAAGTCCTTGAATGTTTGGTAGAATTTGCTGGTGAAGCTCTCCAGTCCTGGGCTTTTATTTGTTGGGAGTTTTTGATTACTGACTCGATCTCCTTACTAGTAATTGGACTTTTCAGATTTTCTATTTCTTCATGATTCTGTCTTAGGAGATTGTATATTTTTAGGAATTTATCTATTTCTTTTCGTGTGTCCAATTTATTTGTATTTAATTTTTCATAGTAGTCTTTTATGATTTTTTGTAATTCTTTGGCATCAGGTGCAACTTATCTGATATCATTTTATTTTTATTTATTTGAGCCCTCTCTCTCTTTTTCTTTAGTAGGTCTACCTAAAGGTTTTTCAGTTTTGTTTATCTTTTCAAAGAATCAGATCTTAGTTCCATCAATCTTTCCTATTGTCTTTTTAGTCTCTATTTTATTTCTTTCCACTCTGATCTTTATTTTTTTTTTTCCTTCTACTAATGCTGGGCTTCATTGTTATTTTCCTAGTTCCTTTAGGTGCAAAGTTAGATTATTTGATTTTTTTTTCTTGTTTCTTCAGGTGGTAGCCTGCCAATGGCTATCTCTACAATTGGCTATCTCTACAATTGTTTTAGACTCATAGTACACAGAATGGTATCCTCCCTGGCCAGCAGAGCCAAGCCCTCAAGGGACATATTCTGTGTTGGTTACACTTTCCTGCTAGTTTTTGCAGGGCTGAGACTGTAGGACACTCAGCCTCCCAGCTCTGGCAAGACTGGGGGGCAGTATAGGTGTGGGCACACCCACCACTGTTAACAAGGTAAGGGAAGGATGCAAAAATAGCACCAACCAGCACCTCTATCCCTGGACAGAGTCTTAACAGGCTTTGCCCTTCTTAGTCTGGGAGAGATTAAGATTAACAAATGACTCTCCTTCATGTATGGTCCCAGCACTTTTCAAATAGCTGATTTTTGTCCTGAGTCTCAGAGTGGGTGAGTTTGTACACGAGCCCATAAAGATTAGAATCTCCATTCCCTACAGCCTCATGGTTCACCTGAACCCAAGCCCCACCGGTTTTCAAAGCCAGAGATTTGGAGGCCTGCTTTCTCTGGTACAGATCCCAAGAGTTGAGGTGCCCAACCTGGACGCAAACCCCTTACTGCTCAGGGAGGAACTCCATATTTGTGAGATACCTCCTAATTGTGGTTCACCGTACCATTCACAGGTCTTTTGGTGAGACCACATCTCTGCCTCTGTGTCTGGATATAGCTCTTTTATCCTTTGTTGTGACAAAAGCTATTAAGGTAGTTTCTAGGTTTATTTTTCTGAACTAATCGTCTCATGTATAGTTTTAGATTTGTTGTGTCTATGGGAGGAGGTGAGTTCAGTTCTGCCATCTTGAACCCCAAAACTCAACCATTTTTTAACAACATCCTTAAAACAGAAACATGAAATTTTATGCCTAGCAAAGAAACAGATTCTATTAAGAACCTCATTTCTGTTGCATCTCTCTGTGTTTCCCCAGCTCAGCTGTCATTCTAAAAAACAAAGCAGGAGCCTCTTAACCTTCAGGTCCATGTTACTTAGAAGCTGATTTAGTCCCATCCATCTCATGTAACTTGGCACTGTCCTTCTTTATCTGAAACAAAATGCAGCAAGACGTTTATTCTAGGTTGATTTACCCCTTTTAGTAGGAGAGGGAAGGCAGGTGTACACCGGTACCGCCCAACAGGCATCAGGGAATGCAAAGTCATATATGTCTTGCCCCAGGGAAACAGCAGGAGCTTGGTTATTTACGCACTCCAGAAGAACTGGAAGGACATTTTAAAGGCAAATGAAAGTGAACACCAGCATCATACACATGGATATGAGCACAGAAAACTGACTATATGCTGTTAACCTGTTTTGAAGGAAATGTGAAGGAAAATTAATGAAGGAAGACTTTTTTGGCTTCGGTTTTTAAAGTATTAAATTTTGGCTCTTAGAATCCCTGAGAAATAATTATTTACTGCCCAACTTAAGGGTTCGGAGATCTCCAGAGTTTCCTCATACTTTTTCCACGACACAGCTCCATTCAGCAAGTGTGGTTGTGATTTGATTAATGATTTCCCAGCCTCATTATTTCACCTTGCGTTTTTCCTTTCTCCTTTCCAGGAAGCAGAATGTGCCTACACCCTCTTTGTCGTTGCCATATTTTGGCTTACAGAAGCTTTGCCTCTGTCAGTAACAGCTTTACTGCCCGGCTTAATGTTTCCGTTGTTTGGGATCATGCCTTCTAAGAATGTAAGTCCTCTTGCAAATGTATATCATAATTAGATTCCTTATTTTGTGCTGAGACTCCCACTGAGAAAAATCATATTGAAAGGAGCAGTAATCCTGTTGCTAAAGCTTCCACAGAAGTCCTGCAAGTTTCCAGTTGTTTCTCCCTAGAAGTCTGCATGTGTGTCTGCATTCAGGTGGACAGAAACAAAACACAGGCTGCAGCTTCTCGGGTCATGTGTGTCAGCTGAAGAAATACGTGTCCCGCCTTCCTGGGCTGACATCTATGGCTGTGTCTCCCTCCCAACAAAAGGGCCAACCCTTTCACCTCCTTTTCACATTTTCTTTTCAACAGAATTGAGTCTCACACAGTGTTAGAAAAGCAATTTTTGTTTTTAATGAAGAAAAAGCCGCCCTGTTTTCTTTTCCAGAAAACCTGCCATTTCAAAAGATAAAGCCAAATTAACTTTCATGTGTATTTCTATTTTGATCTTGCTGAGAGGAGTTTATTCATGCTGAGAGGTGTTTCTTACCTTTATACAATCTAAGGGTACCTGTCTGAAGAAAATGGATTCAGTTTCCCATTAAAAGCATGAAATGCATTGAAATCAGAATGTCTATCTTCATGCAGTCTCCAGCCACGCAGCACACAACTGCCCAAAACACAGCTGAAAGAGTCCTGGGAAAGATGTCAAGTTCACGATGCCAGCCCCTGCAATTTGACACCTTTGGTCTTCTATCTTCTGCCAGGGCTCAATATTGCTAACTTGAAGTTCATCTGTCTTATAATGTGGATGGAGATTTTTCTTTTTAAATTATCCGTGTTATAGACGGGTTTTTTTTTGGGGGGGGGGGTGTCCTGTGGGAGAAGCAATTCCTTTCCTTCTCTCTATGTCATTCTTTCTCATTTCATAGTTCAAGACCTTCTTTTCTTCTTTTTGCATTTCAGATCCATTTTGCTCCTCTTTTCTTACTGCATTTTCCCTTCCCTCATCATCTTGACTCTTGTCTTTCTAAGCACCATTGTTTGGAAGAGAGTGTAGTTAAGGCTGGACTTCATTTCCTCTCATCCCCAGGCTGAAGCTCTTCTGCCGTACAGAATTTAGGATCCATAATTTAAGAACTTTCTCACATGCTCCAACATGCTACAAGGCTCTCAGTAAAGGAACATTTAAAAGAAGGGGCTGGAAAGTTCTCAAAAATTGTGTCAATTTATTAACCAACCCCTGTCTTGCTGGTGTAGGTGGTTGTGCCTCTAAATATAATTAGTTCAACAGTGACGTATTTGTCTTTTATGATTTAATAAGAATAAAACTGACTAGATTGACTTTTTAAAGTAAGTTGAGATAAAGCAAGATGAACTGCAATTGGGGCATTTCTGCAGCAATGAGGCAAAAGGAAGACAGGAGAAGAAGGGTGCCTAGGAAAGCCTGGCTTTGTGGGAACTGCAAAAGAAATATCTTTTCCTTTTACAGGATGTGGAGGCCTGACTGGAGGCAGCAAAATTCTCGGTACTGTCACTAGTTGCGTTAGGCTGCCGATCCCTGTCCTAAGGTCCCTTATCCCCAGAAGTGTCAGCCTCAGACTAATTGAACAGCCATAGAACCTTAGACTTGGAGGCTTGTTCTTCTGGGTCATTTCATCCTGGGCAGGGATTGTCCTTTCAATATCTCTTACAGATGAGATCACTCAGGAAGTGTTTGGAGCTCCTGTATGTGGGCTTAGAATACCCTGCAAAGAAATACATGTTTTCGAACACTTTGAATACTTAATTCACTCAGCTTTATTGAGCTCACATGTGAAACTCTGTGACTTTGTCTCTAGACTTTCCTCTAAATGTCTAAGATTACACATACGTACACAGACAACAACAATGAAAACTTCATCTTTCTTCCACATGACGGTGTTTGGATGTGAGAATAAATACCATTTCCTCTTTAAGTCTTCCCACCTCCAGTCTTTATGGTTTCCACACCTCAACTCCCTTCCTTAACGCCACCACCTCCACCTGTGCCATCACCACCATCTTCTCTCCTCTTCCCGGAACTACCTCTAGTTTGTCAGCGGTACTTACGAATTAGATAGTTAGTGGACGTAATGTCTGTCACACTCACTATATATTAGTTAATATGATCAGTATTTGTACATTGACAAGAGTGAATACATCTAGAAACATTCTGAATGTTGCAAAGCTAAGTGAGTCTATTTCCTTTCTGGTATTTTAGCCTAAATTCATTGCAAATTTTATGTGACTTTTTTTCACCTTAAGCTTAATAGGAACTTGAAAGAAATCAAAGTCCTCAGGACTTTCAGTATAGAAAACTGCTCTTCAGTCTTGTGATCCTCTTTCTAGAAATGGCAACTGAAATTTTACTAGGAAATATCTGACCAAAGGAATGGGGAAAGGGCTAGAGATTTAGTCAGAAGACCTGAGCTTAAACCCTGATATTCACCACTAATTTCTTGTATGATCCTGATCATGTCCCTTAGCAACTCTTTTTTTCTCATAATCCAGCGGTTGTTGTAATAATCAAATCAAATAAAAATGTGAAACACTAATAGATACTAGACATCAATTATTTTTATGGGTTTTAATATCCTCAGTTAAAGGTGTTAAATATCATGCCAGCCCTGCTGAAGCATTTGGAATCTCAACTTTGCCATGGAGAGTAATGGGTCTTTAATACCCTCATCTAAGTTCAGAACCCTACACGTCCTTCTTTTTGGCCACGATAGTTTTAACCGTACTTTGTGTATTTATTAAGCCAATGCTAAATATCTATATCTTACTGAGCACCTTATTGTATTAAATAATATCAACAAATTCTGAATTTCTCTCATATCTACTGAATAAAATCTGAAATGCTAAATATTTAGTGTGCCAAATTAGATATTCTAAAACAAATATCATTGTTATTATTATTGTCATTGAAAAAATTTTACATATAAATTTTACACATATAAATATGAAGATACTCATATGTATATGCAGATGTTATATATTTAGGTCAGTCATGAGATAAGTATTTATGTGCTAGGACTCTGCCAGGTTCTTGGGAATACAGTAATGAATAAATACAGACAAAAGTCCCTGTCTTCCTAGGAGAAAAGAGACAATAAACAATATACCTTAATACACAGGTAAATTACAGTAAGTTAGAAGGTTATTGGTGCTATGGAAAAAAGCAACAGGATAATGAAGATCTAGAGAGGCTTGCAGTTTTAAACAGGATCATCAGAGTAGACTCGATGAGGTGTCAATACCTGAACAAAGACTTACAGGAGATGAGGGAGTTAGGTATGTGGGTGTCTGGGGAACAGCCATCACTAAAGGCCATATACTACCCCCCCCCCAAAGACCTCAAGGCAGGTCTGTATCTGAAGTGTGACTAGAGCAAAAAGAGTGAAGGAGAAAATGCTAGAAGACGGTGTCAGGGAGATAATGTGTAGACGTCGTAGACCATCTAGTGCCAAAGTAGGCCAACATAAGTAACATTTTAATGAAATGAGAATGAGACTCACTAGAGAATTTTAAGTAGAGGAGTGTCATCATCAATTTGACTTTTATTTAAAAGGATAATGTAGACCTGCTGTGCTGAGAAACGAGGCAGAAAGAAGGAAACAGGTAGCAGGTTACTGCAAAAATCCAGTTGAGAGGCCATGGTAATTCAGACCAGGAAAAGTAATAGGGATATTGAATATATTGTTAATGGATTTTTAAGATAAAACCAACAAAATTTCCTGTATGATTTGATAGAGTATATGATAGTAAAAAAAAAAAAAAAAAAAGAATTTGAGGATGCCTCAGAACTTTTTGACCTGGAAGCTGGAAAAATGGAGTTGCCATTCACTGAAATAAGGAAAACCAGGGGCAGAGTAGGCTTGGTGCACCAGAGAAGCTGACCCCAGGACTACAGAGTTGGACATTAAGTATGAAATAAGTGTTTTATATCTGAGTGAGAGGGTTAACCAGGCAGTTAAATACTGCCATTAAATACAAATGAGTCCAGAGATCATGAGGGAGAGCTGAGGTAGAAATGCAGGTTTTGGATCCATAAGCATATACATGACATTGAAAGCCCAGAAGTTGATGAGATTGTTTAGAGAAGGAGTGAAGATCGAAAACAAACAAAGATGAGAAAGAACTGACTAATTAGAGAGCTACAACATTAAGGGATTGATAAGAAGAAAAAGAATTAGTGAAGAAGAATGAGGATAGGTTATTGAGTTAGGAGGAAGACCAGGATAGTGTGGGATCCTGGAATCCAAGTAAAGAAATGTTTTAAGGATGAGGCAGTGATCAAATGTGCTATGCTAATATGTCAATTAATGTGAAAACTGGAAATTGGCCATTGGATTTAGCAACAGAGCATAAATAAATATTTTTAAACAAGAAAATATATATAGTATAATAATATATAAGAATATAATCATACACATTTTAACGGACAAAGCATTTTTCTAAAAAAAATCATTTAATTCACAAACTTGATATGAAGTATTATTGAACTTTTATGGGTAAGTATACTGACTTGTAGGAAGCTTATGAACTGGTACATTTTATAGCTAAGAAAGAACCCAGAGGCTTTGATACCAGAAGTGCCTGTGTTTTGGTGAAATCCCATTTTGAGACAGAAATATGACTACCTTGATCTTAAAAGTAGATTTCAAATTTCATTAGAATTTTATTTTACGTGTTTATTTTGCCTCAAAAAAAGTTATATTTACCAATATCATTTACAAACCAGTAGCATTTTCTCCTATTACCTCCTATACACATGGGCTATCAACAAACACATATGCTCATGACTAATGTGCTGCAAATATACTAACTGTGATGAAACCCAAAGAATTGGTAATACAATGGAAAACAAAAGACTGTGATAATTCCTCCTTAGGTTTATAATTATTTGCATTTAGACAATGGGGTTACAGGCCTTTTTTTTTTGCTTACAAAGTCTATTAATAGACTGGAAAACTATGAGTCTGAGGGTCAAATTCAGCCTGCTACCGAATTTTTAAAATAAATTTTAAAAATTTTATTGGAAACACACAAAAGCCATGGTCACTCATTTACAGTCTCTGGCCACTTTTGTGCTACAAAGACAAGTTGAGTAGTTGCTGTAAAAACAATGAGGCTCACAGAGTCACATTTATTATCTGACCTTGTACAGACAAAGTCTGCCAATTACTGACATAATCTAAAGAGATTACAACAAGAGCGTCTTGTGGTCCTGGACTTCCTTCTGTGTTCAGTCATTTACTAATGATGGCTCACTTCTATATATTTCTTTAAATACATGGTAATTTTTAAAGTAATTCTGCATTTATTTTTTCATTGAATTCTCAGACTGTTGGAATAGTGTAAGTAAGGTTTATTTTCATGAGCAAAACTACAAAAGAGATAAGATCAGAGGAAAACTCAAATGTCTATTTATCTTTCAATAATCAATTTGAGGAGGAGGTACTGTAAGAAGAGATTCCCAATTTTCCTAGAAAAAGGTGGTTATTTACTCTTTGAGCCTCACCTATAGCTTGAAGAAATATTTTTCATGCACCTATGATGATACCTTACTGCAGTCTTTGTTAACTTGTTTTTCTCACCTAATAACCTGTAAGCTTCTTGTGTTTAGGGACTTATTAATTGAATATCTATTGAGTGCCAGTATGTGCCATGCGTGTACTAAATCTGTAAATACAATCATCAGTAAGATACATCTCTGCCTTCAAAATATATCTAGTCTGATAAAGGGGATAATTAAGCAAAAAAAAAAAAAATATATCAACATGTAGGTTAAGACGTTCTCTCACAAAAGGAAACAGCATCCAACCAAGTTTAGGGTAGTCAGGAAAGGCGTCATAGAAGAATTGACATCTGAGTTCATCCATGAAGGAAGATTATGGGTAACCAAAATATTAGAAGAGGATCATTCCAGGTTAAATGACAGGCAAATGTTAAAGCAGTTCCATGATTGGATAGTTTCACATATGGGGAAAAGTTGGCAGAGAGCACCGAAAGACTAAACTGGAAAGATGAAATGGATTAATTGATGAAGTGTCTTATAATACATGTTGAGAAGATTGGATTTGGGTCCTAAAAGACATGGGGTCTACTGAATGAGTATAGGAGGTGCAATGATGGTATTAGATTTACAGTTTAGAAAAGTAATTGTGACAGTGGTAAAGGGTGTATTAGAAAAAGACAGATCAAACAGTAACCATGTAAGAAGGAGTAAGGGGACCCAATTAAAGTAATAATGTTTGAATAGACCAAAGTGGACAATTTAAAATATATGGGGGAACTAGAAATAATAGACTTAGTGACTAAGACACACATATTGGAAATGAAAAAGGAATCACCTGACCCTTTGGTTTCTAACTTGGGCAACTAAGTAGATGGGACTTTCATTCGCCACAAAAAGGAATATGCTGAGTTTTTAGATGTTTGTAGGAAATACAAGTGGAAATGTCCAGTTGAATACACCAGTCTGGAACACAGAAGACTTATCTGTTTGGGGACAAAGATTTTAGTGTCATTAGCATTTCTTCAGCAAGTATGTATTGAATGCCTACTATGTGCCAAACATTATTTTAGTCACATAGAGTTAGAAATTGAATCTGTAAGATTCAATCATCAGGTGTACAAAACAAGAAGACGGGAGACAAAACCTTATAGAGTACCAACATTTAAGAAAAGGATAGAGAGGGCTGGGGCACCTGGGTGGCTTAGTCGGTTGAGCGTCCGACTTTCGCTTGGGTCGTGATCTCACGGTTCGTGGGTTCGAGCCCCGCGTGGGGCTCTGTGCTGACTGCCAGCTCAGAGCCTGGAGCCTGTTTCAGAGTCTGTGTCTCCCTCTCTCTGACCCTCCCCTGCTCACGCTGTCTCTCTCTCCCTCTCTCTCTCTCTCTCTCTCTCTCTCTCTCCTAGAAATAAATAAAAACATTAAAAAAATTAAAAAGAAAAGAAAAGGATAGAGGAAAAATAATTTGAAAGTAGTCCAGGAATAAAAATTCAGAGAGGCGGGGAGGGAAAAAAATGGTCAGTGTGTAAACACTAGTAAACTAATAAATTGAAAGAATACTTATATTGAGAGTAAGGATGAGGGAGTTAAGAGGTTTGAAGTTTAGGATCATAGGGTAGACAATTGGGATTTAGGAGCTCAGAGACTGTAGCTTATATATGGATTCCTTTCCTCCCTCTCATTCATCCAATATTGTTTACTGAGCTCCTACTCTGTACCAGAACTGTACTAGGTGCCAAATATGCAATGTCTAGCAAAACAGATTCCTAGTTCTCTTAGAATACATAGTGTAAAACAGAAAACATGAAACAAGCAGGTAAACAAACTATTTACACAATGTGATGTGCTATAAAGGAAGTAGACAGGGCTCTGTAATACAAAAACATAGTAGAATGTGTAGAAAAAGCTGGATATTTAGAATTGAAGAGGTGTGAAGAGGGAAAAACATGTCAGACATTTATTCTTGCATTCCCTGTTCATATAACAGTTTTGGTGCATGGTAAATTCTTATCCAATGTTAGAGTAAGTAATAAATGAAATATTAAAGAAATTGATATAATTATTTTCTATTATGCAATTACTACAAAATGCAAAGAGGTAAATATAAACTTTGAAAACAAAATAAACTAACTTTTCACAAAACATAAAGAAGAGATCCACTTGTCCACTTTTAATTCCAAGGCTAATTTTTACTTTGGCCAAAACCAGGCCAAGCTTAGTGAGTTATATTAAAAATGCAGATACAATTTAAAATAGCAAAATCAGGGCACCTGGGTGTCAGGTGAGTGTCCAGCTTTGGGTAGGTCATGATCTCGTAGTTCATGGGTTCAAGCCCCACATTGGGCTCTGTGCTGACAGCTCAGAGCCTGAACCCTGCTTTAGAGTCTGTGTCTCCCTCTCTTTCTGCCCTTACCCCACTAACACACGCACTTTCTCTCTTCCTCTCTCTCAAGAATAAACATTTAAAAATTTTTAAATAGCATGATTTTTCTATTCCTTTGTGGTTTCATATTAGAAGAGTTAATTTCCAACTCTTCCATTCCTTCTATTGGATATTTTTTAAGGGACATTTCTTCTTTTTTTTTTTTTATTTTTTTTTAATGTTTTATTTATTTCAGAGAGAGAGAGAGAGAGAGAGAGAGAGAGAGACAGCGTGAGCAGGGGAGGATCAGAGAGAGAAGGAGATACAGAATCTGAAACAGGCTCCAGGCTCTGAGCTAGCTGTCAGCACAGAGCCTGATGGGGGGCTCGAACCCACGAACTGTGAGATCATGACCTGAGCTGAAGTTGGACGCTTAATCGACTGAGCCACCCAGTCGCCCCTTCTTCTTCTTCTTCTTTTTTTAAAGTTTATTTATTTATTTTGAGAGAGAGAGAGGGAGTGTAGGAGGGGCAGAGAGAGGGAGAGAAAAAAATCCCAAGCAGGCTCCATACTGTCTGCATAGAGCCTGATGTGGGACTTGATCTCATGTACAGTGAGATCATGACCTGAGCCAAAATCAAGAGTCAGACGATTAACTGACTATGCCTCCCAGGCACCTTGGGGTTATTTTCTCTTATAATCCTCTCCTTTCTGCACAGTCTTGTGATTCAGTTTAACCAAGCAGTTCCTAAAGTCAGGTCTGTTGAATATCAGTCTCATGAGGTATAGCACCCAAAAATTTAAAAGTAAGTTTTCTATGGTTAGATAAGCTGAAAAATATATTGTGTATGGAACCCCACTCTGGGAGTGGCAATGTATATTAAAGGTATGTATAATATGTTTATATATATTGTATACAAAATTTAATGTTTAAATACTAAAAATATAGTATTTAAAGGTTTTGAGGGGATCTATAAGAATGAAAATTCTAGTATTTCAAACTTCCATGGTTTCTAAACTTATTTGACCACAACATCTTTTTGTTGTTGCTGTTGTTTGAGAAAAATATTATGTACCTAACATACTTCAGATCATTCCTTGGTAAATAGGTTTGGCCCAAATTGTCTGTATACTCTACTAATCTCTCAATGGTGTTAGCTAAAAATGGCTTAAAATGGTGGCTCCTATTGAAGGGAATGTCTTTTACAGCAAATAATTTTGAAGGTAAAACCATTCAAAGTACTGAGGAGTGACACTGAAGTTATGGCATAATGGATGATATTGAAGACACTGGCAAGTTGGAGACTCATCTTGGACTTTCCCAAATCACAGTCATTGCCATCCTACCAAAGCAGCATACATCGATTAACCCCAGCTTAGAGAAGGAAAAATTAAGACATTGAAGGCAGTTGCCTAATGCTACACAGTTATTTAAAAACCCAATATGGGGCATCTATGTGGCTCAGTCTGCTAAGCATTCAACTCTTGATATTGGTTCAGGTAATGATCTTGTGGTCATGAGATAGAGCCACAGCTGGAGCCCCTCATCAGGCTCCATGCTAAGTATGAAGCCTGATTGGGATTCTCTCTTTCCCCTCTCTCTGCTCCTCCCCTACTCATTCTCCTTCCTCCCCCCTCAAAATAAATAAACATTAAAAATAAATAAATAAAAATAAATAAAAAACCAGTATCTTGGGTACCTTCTTTTTTTTTTGTACATATTTATCCTTAACACTACTAGTTCTGGGTAAGAATATAGAACTTAACTTCAAATTTATATTCTAATGCATCTACATTTTTCTTAACAAAATAGAAAGATTAAGTAGTTTGAAGGTCAAAGTTAAGAGCAGCAAAATAATGCTTTCTTGGGCAATCTTAATTTCCCCCCACCAACATAAATGATCATGGGTTTAACTCTAATTTCAGGTGGCATCTGCTTATTTCAAAGATTTTCATCTACTGCTAATTGGAGTCATCTGTTTAGCAACATCAATAGAAAAATGGAATTTGCACAAAAGGATTGCTCTGAGAATGGTGATGACAGTGGGTGTGAACCCAGCATGGTAAGTACCACGTTTACCTGGTTTACCTTCCAAACAGATCATTTTTATGCAGAGCAAATAACTAAGTAAGTAATACACATCCACGCAGTCATTCATATCACAGTATCATTCATTTCTTTCTTCTCCTCTGCAAATATGAAAGGGATGTAAAGTGCACTTGAGTTGTAGGAGGAAACAACAACAACAACTTTCCCTTCACAGCAGGTCTGATTACAGGGAGATTGGAGTCAGTGCACACAACCCTCTCACCTTTCATGCACACTAAGAGGCAAAACTGTGAGAGAAGCCTTGAACCTCAACAGACAAGACTGATGGACTTCAGAGTAAATTTCAGTCCTATCTCATTTTTTGGCTGATTACTCATTCAAGACTTGTTCAAGAGCATCCTTGATCATCAGGGAAGATGTTAAGAACCAAATACAAAGACATTACCCGTAAAATACAAATGTGTACGGAAAAATTCCAAGGTGAACATTTTTCTTTTTAAATGAACTGTTGCAAAGTGAAACAATCAATTAAGAAGTTTCATCTACAGAATGTGAAATCACTCAGTTGACTGATTTCCCCCCACTGAATGCTTTTCCCCACTGAAATGAACACTTTCTTTTTCCATTAAACTAATTGGCTATCGCAGTTTTAATTCTAGCTCCTGTTAAGAACATAGATGTGAGCTAAAAAAATATATTTTCAATGTCATAATCACTTGCATATGAGAACTTGTATGTTTCTCTCTGAAGGCAATTGTATATACACTGTTCCTTATAAAGTTTACTGTGTGGTAAGCAGAACGTTCCCAGGAAGTAGAAGAAAGTAAAGAATCACCACCAAATAAGTTCTAAATTAGAAATTATAATAATATTGATTTTAAAATATACATTTAACATTTGCCCAAGCATTAAGCTTTAAAGCCTTAGGTGATTCTCCCCTTCTCATTTTTCTTTGGAAATAAGAAAATCTTATTGAATTATGTTGCATAATTCATTCTAGAGTGTATCCACATCTGTGTTTACTATTTATGAATCAAATGGTTTTGTTAAATACAGAAAAAAACTCAGATGAGTCAAATTTTGTAAATGTTTGTTACTTAAAAATTTTTATAACATGTATGTATTAAGGTAATTTCACTCTTAAAATAGAATGGTGTTCCGCAGCTCTTGGGATACTACAGATATGTTCTCTTTGCCTTGACCAACTTCCCACTGACCCCAGGGAATGGGGTTGCTGAGCAAACTGCAGAGTGTGGCAAGAGTGTGGTCCATTCTATGTTCATGTGGCTTTGCAATTTAAGACATTTTCACCACCAAAAGATTTATCTCATCACAATCTTCTTTTATAGGGATATTTCATGTCTTGTCAATGCCTTAAGTTAAAGGTATTTCTAGTTTACTTTTATTAAGAATCATTTCTTATTCAAACAGTTACCTAAGAGGGCTATTTTGTTTTACATGTAGCAATGATTCACCTGATCTGAAGTTAAAACTTATAGCGTGGAATTTTTCTTGTGGACTTACTTTTCAGAGGAGTCATAGAATTTCATAAGTGTCTTTATATGGAAAGATGTGCTTCTGAATGATTTTCTGGGATCTCCTACTCAAAGGGAGATCATATTTTTCTCCCAAGTGTGATTTTAAAAGCTTATAGTTAGGTTTCAAATCCTACAGTTTTAGGTGTGTTATTTTTAAGGGAGAAGAACTACTCTAAATATAAGAGAAGACAAAATAATATATCCAGTTCTTGATCACAAGCAGGAATGTTAAATTTAGGAAAGCATAAATAATAGAATCTATAGAAAATTCTGAAACCTCATTATAGTTAGTAATTTTAACCATTTCTTTTATCTATCATATATTGTCCTAGAGTAGTCAATAACAAAAAGCAGATTTAAAACTATTAACGCTCTCCTTGCCCTGTGCCTCATTGGCACACAGACAAATAAACGGAGATATGATTAAAAGATAAGAGAAAGAATAAGGGATCCTAAACTCAAAAATTGATTACATTTCTTCTTACTGGTATTTGAAGGTAAGCATCATCTGCAAAGGGCATTCAAATATTGGTATAATATTATAAGCTGTTATACCATCTATTGACTTGCAGTTCGGTTATACATTTAATCATTTTTTTCTGTTTCAAGAGAATATTCTTATGGTTTCCAGGGAGACAAATCTCATAAAAACTCCACTTTTACATGTGCCAGTTTGGTTCCTGTCTGGCTCTGACCATCCTCAGGGTTCACCATCTGAGAGGAACCTTAACTTAAGCTTGTTTTGAAAAAACTCCCAAGTCAAAAATAGCAACCTTTATAGTTGAATAATACAGAGCTAGTTGAGCTGAAGAGCACAGTTCATACTAAAAGCCCTCTCATTTCAGGCTGACATTGGGGTTCATGAGCAGTACCGCCTTTTTATCTATGTGGCTTAGCAACACCTCAACTGCTGCCATGGTGATGCCCATCGTGGAGGCTGTGGCACAGCAGATCATCAGTGCTGAAGCAGAGGTCGAGGCCACTCAGATGACTTATTTCAGTGGATCAACCAACCATGGACTGGAAATTGATGGTACCACATGATGATACAGCTGCAGTGGGGTCTAATCATTTGGGCAATAAACTCCAGAATTCTGGCTTATATTTTATTAACTGTCCACACATGCATGATGTGAATTTAACCTTCCCCTTTCTGTATTTCCCAGTATTTATACAAGGGAATGACATTATCCAAATATTTTACCTTCAGTTAACGATCAAACCTACATTCTCTGGAAGAGGAAGAATGCCCTTTCTATCCTCCAGCCAGTCTGATGGAAATCTCTCTCTCTCTCTCTCTGTCTCTCTCTCTCTCTCTCTTTCTCTCAGCAGACCCCCAGGTCTACTTCCGTACTGAACTGACATTCCTGTATAATATTGGGAATCTTTCATTCCTACATTCTATTTGGAAAGAGTGTTGCATTTGGCTGTGGTTATTTCTGGCTCTGATAAATTTCCCTGATAGAGTGAAAAATGTTGGGACAATATTTGTATTTATAAAATACTTTATTAAGATGAATGTTATGTCAGTAGGTGAATTTATTTTCAGTTTCTAGAAATGCTTCCATCTTTATGCATACAGACACACACCTGCACACACAGAAAACCCTTTAAATTATTTTTCTTCTATTTAATGTTTTGCAGAAAGTGTTAATGGACATGAACCAAACGAGAAGAAAGATAAAACAATACCAGTTCCAGGGTAAAGAATATTGACATTTTGATTAGGATTTTCAAAATTATATTTTAGTACAATTATAAATGGGGTCAATTTATTTTGCAGATACAGTAATGATGCAGGGAAAAATTCAAGCAATACGGAGCTGGAAAAGGTACACTTAATCTGATTCTTTTTAAATAATTATATGTAAAATTAGATTAGGTCTGCAATTCGAGATGTATGCGTTTTAAAAGCTGTAACTTGTTTCCTTGTCTATAAATTACTTTGCTTGCCTAAGTCAAAATGGTTTGAAAAGCCCTCATGGATAGACTAAAATCAATATTCTGATAGAAACTATTTTAGGCTTTGAAAATTAGCATCATTATTTTTCTCCTTTTACTAAGTTTGTGGTGATAGGAGGTAGTATATGTAGTTTAAAGAAATATAATTCCAGTCTCAGAATATTGTTTCATTTTCTTATTAAAATCTTACTGGCTTGGTAGCCTGATTTTCATTAGGAGTATCCTCATTTTTTTTTTCAGGTTATAAACTTAGAGCAACTCTGTGTAATTACAATCCAGTTATGTTTAGTATTTCCACTAAAAATTCAATGCAGAATTTATGAATTGCTACTGTCAAACACAGATGGAGGAGTTGTAGTTGTTCTAGCTATTAAAGGAAGGAAGGAAGGAAGGAGAGTTTTGTAAATTATCCCATAGAATTCATTTCCCTAGAATAAATCATTATAAAAATTCTATACTGAGTTGTATTGGGACCAATAGATCTTGGGTTCACTGAAAAATAATCCTGCATAGAAATAGTTTTACGGTAACCATGGCATTAGGAATAGGAGAGTGGGGCATATGTTCCTTCCTCAGGCTATAATGCATTAACATGCAACTCAGTAGGAAAAAGAAAACCCTCTTGTTATTTACAAAATCTTTAAGGAAAGAGTGATTTCTCTGTAAAGAGAAGACAAATAACAAAGCTAAGTTTTAAGCCATTAGCTACAGTATAGATTAAGGGTGTTAAAGATGAGAATTGAATATATATTTATGAAAATGTTATCATTTTTAGTGATAGAAGTAATTCTCGTAAAGCATAGAAAATCAATAGCATGCAAAGTATATCATAGAAGACATTAAAAATGAGCTTTAAAATTATGAAAATTGGCAATCCTAAACAGAAAAAATGTACTTGCACTCAGTAACGTTCTCATGGTCGTCTTTAGAGACCCACTTTTCTGGCATGATGCCCAAACTTAGTGTCCAACCCCTTCAAATCGATTTGACGTCCAACACAGTCCTAGGCAATTCTAGGAAGGTCCACTGATGAAAAGCCCTGCTTCCCACTGGGTGCAGCTCAGAGTCTAGTGGGGAAGATGGACGTAAAAAAGATGTGTGACATAAATACTACAACAACAGTATGCACAGACGGGCGAAGTCGTCAGAAGTGGAGAGCAGCCAACTCAGCAGGGTGTGTGGCAGGAGACGATATGAGGGAAAGATTTGAGGTGGGGAGGAGACAGCGTGTTCAAGCAGCAGAATGCAAGCTTCAAGCGTGCAGCGACTAAGTCTCCTTGGTTCACCATTTAATTCCCTGGCACACTTCATTGCCTGACACTGGGTAGATTTGCAGTAGATACTGATCTTAATTATTAATGAATGAGTGAAAAGAGAAGAGGTATTCTAATTAGAGAATGCAATGAATTCGAAGACTCAAATATGTGGAGAGCTGGGCTTTTTCAGGAAACCTCTCCACTGCAGGTTCTAGGGATGAGATATGGTAAGTGAAATGTGAAGATAGATCAAGCCATGTTCAAGATAGCTGTTTGTGGGGCGCCTGGGTGACTCAGTCTGGTTAAGCATCCAACTCTTTTTTTTTTTTTTAATTTTTTTTTTAATGTTTTATTTATTTCTAGGAGAGAGAGAGAGAGAGAGCGTGAGCAGGGGAGGGTCAGAGAGAGAGGGAGTCACAGACTGAAACAGGCTCCAGGCTCCGAGCTGGCAGTCAGCACAGAGCCCGACGCGGGGCCCGAACCCACGAACCGTGAGATCATGACCTAAGCGAAAGTCGGACGCTTAACCGACTAAGCCACCCAGGCGCCCCAAGCATCCAACTCTTGATTTCTGCTTAGGTCACAATCTCACAGTTTTGTCAGTTTGAGCCCCAGGTCAGGCTCTGCTCTGACCCTGCAGAGCCTGCTTGGGATTCTCTCTCTCTCTCTCTCTCTCTCTCTCTCTCTCTCTCTCTCTCTTTCTCTCTGCCCCTCCCTGCCCATGCTGTCTCTGTCTCTCTCAAAATAAATAAATAAACTTTTAAGAAATTATTTTTAAAAGAGCCGCTCTTGGAGTGCGTGGTGGCTCAGTCGGTTAAGTGTCTGACTTTGGGTCAGGTCATGATCTCACTGTTCCTGAGTTGGAGCCCCATGTAGGGCTCCGTGCTTGACAGCCCTGAGCCTGTATCTTGCTTGAGATTCTGTGTCTCCCTCTCTCTCTGAGCCTCCCCTGCTCATGCTCCATCTCTCTTTCTCTCTGTCACTCAAAAGTAAATAAGCATTAAAAAATAATAATTAGAAAAAATTTTAAAATAGCCGTTGATGACATACCAAAGAATCTAGAGTTTATCTTAGGGGAAATGGGAATCTTTGAAACTGGAGAGGAGCATGGTAAATCTACCCATTGAGAAACTTACTGTGGCAGCAATTTGAAGTGTGAAGAGTGCAAACCAAACAGGACTTGTTTTGATTAATCAGACTTTGAGGATGAGAGAGAGAAAAGCATAGAAGATGCCGCTGCTAGAGTAAAGTAGGTAAAGGTAGGCTGTGATGCCACCCATTGAGACAGGGAACCCAAGAAGAGGAACCAGCATTCAATGGAGAAAAGTAAGATAATTTGTATACATTTAGGGCAATAAAGACTGAGTTCTGAGTTTGGGAGAAGAGAGCAAGCAGGGCCTTTGAACAATGCTTCTATGGTCTTTGTAGAACTCAATGTATAAAAATTCAACTTTATCTAAGAGAAAAATGAAAGGGTAACTTTTTACTTTACAGAAGTGTTCTTTATTAGAGATTACATGGAAGTGTTATTTTATATACACATTTAAGATGTTTTGATTTTTAACAATTATAAATTCTTCTCTGAGATAGATATAGTGTGTATTTTGTGTTAACTTTATACTGAATTGCACCTGTTCTTTGCCAGATTTAAACTAAATACTTTAACATTAACTGATTATGTGGAAGAATCTGTATCTACTTAATCTAGCTATAAAAGGAAGGAATATTTATGTTTATAATGTTTCTTCTTCCATTTTCTTCTTGAAGCAGGTAGGACATTCTATTGAATTAAAATAACTGTGTGGTTTGGCTTTGAATTTGAACTGAAAGTCATCAAAGATCCAAATATTACTCCTTTTGAGAAGGAATAGTTTAAAGTAAATTCCAAAGAAGAGAAGAAAAATGAAGAGCTTAGGTTTTTGTTTTCTGGTGTTTTCTTTTTGGTAATTTGCACCATTTTGCCATGTTCTTATTTTTTAAGAATATTTAATTTCTACTGACAATTACTACAATTTTGCATATTTGAATCACCATTTGTTCAGTAAAAATTTAAGTATTTTTCTTAAATTTAATTAAAATCTGTTTACTAGCATAATGGAATCAATCCAAGGTGATCAATAAACTTGCTTTATATTTTAGAATTCTATATTTACTTCATTTTTTTAGAATTATATGTTTCTTTCTAAAGGCAGTAACATATACCAATCCATATAAAGTTTAGTGTGTAGTAAGCAGAAATTTCCCAGTAAGTAGACAAAAATTAAAAATTACCACCAAATAGGTTCTAAATTAGTAATTATAATAACATTGATTAAAAATATACATTTAACCTTTGCCCAAGTATTATCTTCTCAATGAGGCCTACCCTGATCACCCATTTTCATTATGGCCAGTACATCCCTCCTAATACCCTTGAACCTGCCCTACTTTTCCCAAAGTATGCATTCCCTTCATACAAATGAAATTATTTATTAAATTTTGTTCATATGCTTATTTGTATTTCAAATATCTAGAACAATGACTGCCATAGAGTAAGCATTTGGTAAATATTTGCTGAGTGAAGCAATAAATTGAGTGAAGGAATAAATTCAGTAATATTTTTCTCAAATAATACTTAGATTAAAATAACTCATTCTGTATATAAACTATAACAAGAAAAAAGCAAACTGATAATGGTTGAAAGGTAAAACTATGAGTCAGATTAATTTCGTTTTTTCCAGCTTCATTGAAATATAATTGGCACCTAAGTATACTTTACTCAGCTAACACATTGGGTAAATTTAAGGGGCACTTGTTGATTTGATATATTTATATATTGCAGAATGATTATCACCATTGCAACAGTTAATACCTCCATCACATTACATAATTACCCTTTCTTTTTTGTGGTAGGAACATTTAAGATCTACTCTCTTAGCAACTTCCAATATATAGTAAGTATTATTAATTATAATTATCATGCTAGACTTTAGATCCTGAGAAATTATTCATCTTATAACTGGAAGTTTATACCCTTTGACCAACATCTCCTCATTTCCCCAACCTCAGCCCTCAGTAACCACACTTTACACTATTTCTATGAATTAGACTTTTTTAGATTCTACATATAAATGATAACATGCGGTAATTTTCTTTGTCTGACTTATTTCAATTAGGATAATATCATTATAACAACAGCTATTCTAATGAAGACAAGGTTCTAACTCATTGTGGTTTTGATTTGCGTTTCCCTGATGATAGTGATATTGACTATGTTGTCATCCACCTGTTGACCACTTGTATGTCTTCTTTGAAAAAATATCCATTCAGTTCCTCTGCTCATTTTTAAATTGGATTGTCTGGGATTTTCTGCTGTTGAGTTAATTTTTATGAGTAGTCTAAGAAAGGGGTCCAGTTTAATTCTGCCTGTGGTAATTCAGCTATCCATCCCAACACCATTTATTGAAGAAGCTATCCTTTCCTCACTGAGTATCTTGGCTCCTTGTCAAACGCTGGCTCCTTGTATGTATAAAGTTTATTTCTAGGCTTTCAATTCTGTTCTATTGGTGTGTGTGTCTCTTATTATGCCAATTCCAGACTGTTTTGATTGCTATAGCTTAGTAATATAGTTTGAA